ACAGGGTTTCACCATGTTGGCCAGGCTGGTCTTGAACTCCTGACCTCAAGTGATCCGCCCTTCTCAGACTCTCAAAGTGTTGGTATTACAGGTGTGGGCCACTGCACTCAGCAAAATAAAGACTTTTGAAGTAGAAGTACATGGTACAAGTCCTGGTGGTGAGTGAATAATTACTGTAAATATGGTTTAAAAGCCCTGCAAATGTTAAAAATAATTTGAATATTAACCTATTTTGTTTTAGAAAATTGCTTTTTGATAAGAATAATTTAGTTCCATTAAAAATTATTAAGACTCGTTAAAATTTGAATTAGGAGTACATACTAGATAAAATATTTATATCACCATTACATTTGCTAAATTTGAGAATTGCACTGTGGTTACATTAGAGAATGGCATCATTCTTAGAGAATACGTTCTTAGAAAGTACCGCTGGGGAAAGGGACATACCCATATACTGTATACATATATATACACACATACATACATACAGATGTACATATTTTCATGTGTGTGTGTGTGTATACATATATATGAGAAAGAGAGCAAATGTGGCAAAACATTAATAACTGGTGAAGCTGTATAAAGGGCATATGGGAGTTCTTTGTACTGTTCTTGCATATCTTCTACACATTTGAAATGATTTCAAAATACAAGTTTAAAACTAATTTTTAAAATACAGGGTCAGGATGCTATTAATATTCTGATATGAGCCATTTTCCATGCCATGGTTGGGACAGAAGCCAGTTCGAGTGAGTTTATTAAGAGATGAGAAAGTAGAGAAAATAGGAGGTGACTCTTGGAACCTTGGGGGGAGTAACTTCTGAAATTCAAATATTTCACTTACTTTCATATTAGGGTTTCATAGTTTGAATTTTCTGAGGCAGATCACACTTATATGCAAGCTCAGTTATTTAAGTACCCCTATATATTCATTCTATGCTATAATGTAACAGGACATAAATTCTTCAGGGCTGCCATCATTTTAAACTAGAAAGAGTGGTAGCATCATGTGAGGAAAGAGAAGTACCAGCATCCCAAAGATGCTGTTTGTTGTGGGTGATGACAAAGCTGCATTCTCTCCAGTCCCTTCCCTTGGAAAGTGTTTAGTTCCTGCAGGTCTAGGCAGGACTCTTCGGTAGAAACAAAAGTGACTGTTTTATTGGCTCTGGCTCTCAATGGCTACCTCGTTATACTCTTTACTCATGAAACTGAACGGAAATGATTGTGTAAACACATTATCTGTTATTACTGATAATCACACCCACCATGGCTGCTTCTTGGCTGTCCAACTAAATGTTAAATTACCTGCTGTGTCAGGGAGGGGAGAAAACTGGACCCAAAATAAAACACAGGGAAGAGATAAGCAGTCAAAATAAAAATGTTTGGTGGGACAGGGGAAATTGGAAGATCTGGTCAAACGTTACAAAGACGCAGTGATGTAGGACGAATAAATCTAGAGATCCAATGTACAAAATAAAGACTATGGTTAATAATAGTGTATTGTATACCAGAAATTTGCTGAGAGATTTTCTGTATTTTTACCACAGAAAAAAGACGGAAATAAGGATAACCATGTGAGATGATGGATATTTTAATTTGCTTGCCTGTAGTAATCACTTCATTGTGTATATGTAGATCAAAACGTCATGTTGTATACCTTAAATACATACAATTTAAAAAGATAGGGACGCTTATGGGAACTTCAATTTGTGGTTAAAGTGCTTTTAAAATATATGAGGAAGTCGTCAGAAGGCGCTCTCAGCTTCCGGTCCTGCCTCTGAGGCTTCCGCCATCATGGTGCGGAAGCTTAAGTTCCACGAGCAGAAGCTGCTGAAGCAGGTGGACTTCCTGAACTGGAAGGTCACTGATCACAACCAGCACGAGCTGCGCGTGTTGCGGTGTTACCGGCTGCAGCCGCTGGAGGACTACACGTGCTACAACCAGCTGAGCAGTGCTGTGCGTGAGCTGGCGCGGCGCCTGCGCGACCTGCCAGAACGCGACCCGTTCTGCATACGCGCTTCCGCCACGCTGCTGGACAAGCTGTATGCTTCCGGCCTGGTGCCCACGCGCGGTTCGCTGGAGCTCTGTGATTTGATCACGGCCTTGTCCTTCTGCCGCAGCCGCCCTCTCACCGTGCTGCTCAAGCTGCGCGTGGCGCAGCACCTTCAGGCTCCCGTGGCTTTTGTGGACCAAGGCCACTTACGCGTGGGCTCTGACGTGGTTACCGACCCCGCCTTCCTTGTCATGCGCAGCATGGAGGACTTTGTCACTTGGGTCGACTCCTCCAAGATCAAGCAGCAAGTGCTAGAGTACGAGGAGCGCGATGACTTCGATCTGGAAGTCTAGCGGCTCTACCACTTTCCACGGTTGTCTTTTACAGATGGGAAAACTGAGGCCTGATGCTGGAGATTCTCTGAGGGTGCTCTCCCCAAGGGTGTCGGACGGTCGTAGGTTCTTAAGAACTTGATTCATCAATGGCAGGCCATGCACAGAGCCACGGGAGGTGAGTCCTTGTTTTCCAGGAAATGTTCTTAGAACTTGGACTACTGATTTTTGTGCCTGGGGGAACAGTGGGAAGTAACGGTGCTGCTCTGGGGTACTGTTGGCGTCTTGCGTTGGAAACTTTGTAATGTAAAAGCAAAAACTGCAAATCCCCACACCCTGTTTAGTTTTATCGTCTTGTAGCTGGACTGGTTCAATTCATTTAACTCAAATTCTTGTTCCTGGCCATGGTTAAGCTGTGTAGAGATGATGGAGAGTTTGGTGGGCTCAAGTTTTTATAAACTGAGTGAGACTAGTGTGTTCAGGCTCTCCCTTTTTTAAAGGAATGCTTTCCTAATGCCAGTAAATGCCTCAGCTGCTTTGTAAGTGCAATATATATATATATGAGGAACATTTAAAAATACATATGTGATTCTAATATCTCAGAGACATAATGATTTTCATTTGGAGTTCCTTTAAACTTTTATTCTTATGAACATATTGTTTCTAAGTTGAGGCAATATATATTTTATGCATTTATATATGTTGTATATTACGGAACATTATTTTAGAAACACTTCCTCTTGATTTTATATTTTTATCATAAAAGTTTTAATAGCTAGGTCGGGCGTGGTGGCTCATGCCTGTAATCCAAGCACTTTGGAGGCCAAGGCGGGCGGATCACTTGAGGTCAGGAGTTCAAGACCAGCCTGACCAACATGGTGAAACCCCGTCTTTAAAAAAAAAAAAGTTTTAATAGCTATGTTATATCCCATTGTACTTATACATAAAATATATGTATATATATAATAATTTCCTTATTATTGGATGTCAGTGCTGTTTATTTTTATCTATTTATTTTTGAGATAGTGTCTT